CTACTCATCATGCCAGGCTGCCACATCATCCAGCTTCACCATGGTGGCTTTGCCATATTTATAGACACAGCCCTGCTCTCCAGTGGGAGGCTCCGGCCCTGGCAGGAAGCTCTGGTGATTAAAGCCGTTCTCACAAAGCCCACCTGCACGGAGGCGTGGCATCTGGATTTTGCTGGCCCCTCCAGTCTGACCTCAATGATGGTACCTTCAGATAATCTATTAGATGGCCATGGATGGCCGCTGCTTGCGAGACATCATAGATAATTACTTTATACCAAACTTGAGCCGTGTTCGAAAAGACTGTGTAAATCTTTTAAATCATTGTAAATCTATATAGGTTGGTGTTCGCGATCTTTCGCGCAACTTTCGCCATGCTGTCGCGTACATGTTTGATGTTTTGTCCCGAATCATGTTTGCACCGCTTTCGCGACATGTTTTGTGGGGAACTATGTTGAATATGTTCTCGCCCCTTTCGTGGCACAACATGCCTTTTGACGCCCTTTCGCGAAGCTCTTTCGCCAGCTTTCGCGACCATGCGTTTTGTCTTCGCAGGAACGCCATAGATTAATTCAAGATAAATTGGTGCAAGGGATTCTTAAAAGCTGCTCGGCTTGGGTGAAGTAACCCCCAAACACAGGACACGGATTTCCAGCTCCTGTTTTTCCGCCAAAATATATGTGTCAATTGTGTCAAATATGAGTACAATATGACCATTAAATCAAGCACCGCTCGCCTTTGATGAACGTCCCATCGCTATGCTTCAAGCAGTTGGGATTTGGATGGCTCTTGGTCCCTTTCCTCGATCGGCGATGCCAAATTTGGTGCTGGACGTGGAAAAGGTACCACCATAACGTGGTAAACCCAATATTCACCACATTATATACATTATTAAGGGTGTCAATTGCATTAACCACATTAACATACCTTAATTATTTGTGATTGGGTGTCAATTTGTCAACATCCCAATATTAAACCATCCCCAAAATCATCATTGGTCATTAGGTGGTAGAATAAACCATCCCCAGATGGTAGGTCATTGATCATCCTTCAGGGGTCGTGTTCGTCGTGTTCCGCGCGTGCCCAAGTTGCTTGTCCCAGGATAAGTTCGGACACCAGTTGCCTGTGGCAAATACGACACAGGATGAGCCATTGCGAGTGGAAACGCCATGTTTTCTGTCAACTGGCAAAAGAGCAATGTGTCTCACACTTCCCAGGATTGGTGATTCTCGGCAGTTTTGGGTCACCATCACCCCTCATTTCGGCATGGCGTGGCATGGCCCAGGCACCCATGGAAAGCCAGGAATAGGGTTTCGGACTTGGAAAGCGCACGTCGCATTTCAAATCCTGGGTTGAAAAAGGCAGCACCAAATGTGCCGAATGGTTTTGTCCAGAAAAGGGGAATTTGCCCCCAATAAATGGCCATCTGTGTTTTCCTAGCTGTAATGATGAAAATCATGATTGAATAGAGAGATAATGACAAACCACTGCGTTTTGGGTAACCTGTTTTTGGGCAAGCTCAGTTCCAAACGGTGGATGTGGCAAAACCAAAACATATCACCAACAAAAAAAAGTTACAGCATGTTCCAGCACATCGGAAGAACATGTTGTGAACATTTTACCTCGGCATGTCAATTTTTCAGAGGAGGAACATGGAGTTTTTCTCCATGTTCCCAACAGGCCAGAAATGGTTCACACAATTTTTTCACCATCCCTGGGGGGCAAAGCTTGGCAAATCTGAAGCGGGCAACGGTGCAGGGCGCGATGCCCACAAAGTCGCCCTGCGCCGTGATCCCGCCGGATGAGAAGAATAAATAAGAATATATAAGAATAATGAATATCCGGAACCCGGTTTAATGACAATCATGAGACAAGTAATGCTCGGGCAAGCCGGGGGAAGTTTCAAGAATCTCTTGACATCTCATTCGTGTGCCATCTCTTGAAAAAAGGTTGGACCTTTTCTCATTAATCTCATCGCATGGCAGCTTCTCTTGGACACTTCTCATTGCATCCCATTGTCGCTGCACTCCGTGTCATCCCATCTCATCTCATCTAATTTCATCTCATCTTGTCTCAAGTCTTCTCTCTTCTCAATCGGCTCAGGCCCTCGCAGCTCTTTGCAGCTGCTTTCAACTGAACAAAGTTGTGCTGATCCTTTCTCATTTTATCTTTTTCTGACAATCTTTTGTGGTCCATCTACTCTCTTCCCATCATCTCTCCCCAACTCACCTCTCGTCCTGCCGTATCTGGTCCAGGCATTCTGTGGCAGCGGCTGCACGCGCGCAAACTAAACAAACCCTAAACATCCCGAAACCACCCCTAGATATACCTTGAGCATCCTTGGGCCACCTCATCTCAGCTCACTCTCAGATCATCTCACATTACTCGCAGCTCCATCTCATTGCACCCTCAGCTCATTGCAGTGACCTTCGTGAGAACCATTGTAGGGACAATCATTGCAGTGACTTTCATCGCAGTGACTTTCATCGCAGTGACTTCATTGCAGTAACTTACGTTGCAGTGACAATCATTGCAGAGACAATCGTTGCAATGAGAACCATTGTAGGGACAATCATTGCAATGACTTTCATCGCAGTGACTTTCATCGCAGTGACTTCATTGCAGTAACTTACGTTGCAGTGACAATCATTGCAGAGACAATCATTGCAATGAGAACCATTGTAGGGACAATCATTGCAGTGACTTTCATCGCAGTGACTTTCATCGCAGTGACTTCATTGCAGTAACTTACGTTGCAGTGACAATCATTGCAGAGACAATCGTTGCAATGAGAACCATTGTAGGGACAATCATTGCAGTGACTTTCATCGCAGTGACTTTCATCGCAGTGACTTCATTGCAGTAACTTACGTTGCAGTGACAATCATTGCAGAGACAATCATTGCAATGAGAACCATTGTAGGGACAATCATTGCAGTGACTTTCATCGCAGTGACTTTCATCGCAGTGACTTCATTGCAGTAACTTACGTTGCAGTGACAATCATTGCAGAGACAATCATTGCAATGAGAACCATTGTAGTGACAATCATTGCAGTGACTTTCATCGCAGTGACTTTCATCGCAGTGACTTCATTGCAGTAACTTACGTTGCAGTGACAACATTGCAGAGACAATCATTGCAATGAGAACCATTGTAGTGACAATCATTGCAGTGACTTTCATCGCAGTGACTTTCATCGCAGTGACTTACGTTGCAGTGACAATCATTGCAGAGACAATCATTGCAATCATTGCAATGAACCATTGTAACAATCATGCAGTGTCGCAGTGACTTTCATCGCAGTGACTTCATTGCAGTGACTTACGTTGCAGTGACAATCATTGCTGACAATCATTGCAGTGACTTCAATGAGCAACCATTGTAGTGACATCATGCAGAGCACAATCATAGTGACTCAATGATCGCAGTGACTTCATTGCAGTGACTTACTTGCAGTGACATCATTGCAGAGACAATCATTGCATGAGAACCATTGTAGTGACAATCATTGCAGTTTCATCGCAGTGACTTTCATCGCAGTGACTTCATTGCAGTGACTTACGTTGCAGTGACAATCATTGCAGAGACAATCATTGCAATGAGAACCATTGTAGTGACAATCATTGCAGTGACTTCCATCGCAGTGACTTTCATCGCAGTGACTTCATTGCAGTGACTTACGTTGCAGTGACAATCATTGCAGAGACAATCATTGCAATGAGAACCATTGTAGGGACAGTCATTGCAGTGACTTTCATCGCAGTGACTTTCATCGCAGTGACTTCATTGCAGTAACTTACGTTGCAGTGACAATCATTGCAGAGACAATCATTGCAATGAGAACCATTGTAGGGACAATCATTGCAGTGACTTTCATCGCAGTGACTTTCTCATCGACAGTGACTTCATTGCAGTAACTTAAACGTTGCGTGACAATCATTGCAGAGACAATCATTGCAATGAGAACCATTGTAGTGACAATCATTGCAGTGACTTTCATCGCAGTGACTTTCATCGCAGTGACTTCATTGCAGTGAACTACGTCTACGTTGCAGTGACAATCATTGCAGAGACAATCATTGCAATGAGAACCATTGTAGTGACAATCATTGCAGTGACTTTCATCGCAGTGACTTTCACCGCAGTGACTTCATTGCAGTGACTTACGTTGCAGCGACAATCATTGCAGAGACTATCATTGCAATGAGAACCATTGTAGTGACAATCATTGCAGTGACTTTCATCGCAGTGACTTTCATCGCAGTGACTTCATTGCAGTGACTTACGTTGCAGTGACAATCATTGCAGAGACAATCATTGCAATGAGAACCATTGTAGTACAATCATTGCAGTGAACTTTTCATTCATCGCAGTGCCTTTCATCGCATTGACTTCATGGCAGGACTTACTTGCAGTGACAATCATTGCAGAGACAATATTGCAATGAGAACCTTGTAGTGACAATCATTGCAGTGGCCTTTCATCGAAGCGACCTCATCGCAGTGAACTTCAATCATTGCAGTGACTTACGTTTGCAGTGACAATCATTGCAGAGACATCATTGCATGAGAACCATTGTCGTGACGCAGAGACAATCATTGCAATGAGAACCATTGTAGTGACAATCATTGCAGTGACTTTCATCGCAGTGACTTTCATCGCAGTGACTTACGTTGCAGTGACAATCATTGCAGAGACAATCATTGCAGAGAAAATCATTGCAATGAGAACCATTGTAGTGACAATCATTGCAGTGACTTTCATCGCAGTGACTTTCATCGCAGTGACTTCATTGCAGTGACTTACGTTGCAGTGACAATCATTGCAGAGACAATCATTGCAATGAGAACCATTGTAGTGACAATCATTGCAGTGACTTTCATCGCAGTGACTTTCATCGCAGTGACTTCATTGCAGTCACTTACGTTGCAGTGACAATCATTGCAGAGACAATAATTGCAATGAGAACCATTGTAGTGACAATCATTGCAGTGACTTTCATCGAAGCGACTCTCATCGCAGTGACTTCATTGCAGTGACTTACGTTGCAGTGACAATCATTGCAGAGACAATCATTGCAATGAGAACCATTGTAGTGACTGCAGAGACAATCATTGCAATGAGAACCATTGTAGTGACAATCATTGCAGTGACTTTCATCGCAGTGACTTTCATCGCAGTGACTTCATTGCAGTGAACTACGTCTACGTTGCAGTGACAATCATTGCAGAGACAATCATTGCAATGAGAACCATTGTAGTGACAATCATTGCAGAGACAATCATCGCAGTGACTTTCATCGCAGTGACTTCATTGCAGTGAACTACGTCTACGTTGCAGTGACAGACATTGCAGAGACAATCATTGCAATGAGAACCATTGTAGTGACAATCATTGCAGTGATTTTCATCGCAGTGACTTTCATCGCAGTGACTTACGTTGCAGTGACAATCATTGCAGAGACAATCATTGCAGAGAAAATCATTGCAATGAGAACCATTGTAGTGACAATCATTGCAGTGACTTTCATCGCAGTGACTTTCATCGCAGTGACTTCATTGCAGTGACTTACGTTGCAGTGACAATCATTGCAGAGACAATCATTGCAATGAGAACATTTTAGGACAATCATTTGCGTGACTTTCATCGCGTGACTACTCATCGCAGTGATTCATTGCAGTGCCTTACGTTGGCATTTAAATCATTGGGGGGGCGAGACCCTCATTGCAATGAGAACCATTGTCAGTGACATCAGTGCAGTGGCTTTCAACATCGCGTGACTTTCATTTCATCTCATTGACTTCATTGCAGTGACTTACGTTGCAGTGACAATCATTGCAGAGACAATCATTGCAATGAGAACCATTGTAGTGACAATCATTGCAGCGACTTTCATCGCAGTGACTTTCATCGCAGTGACTTCATTGCAGTAACTTACGTTGCAGTGACAATCATTGCAGAGACAATCATTGCAATGAGAACCATTGTAGTGACAATCATTGCAGTGACTTTCGTCGCAGTGACTTCATTGCAGTGACTTACGTTGCAGTGACAATCATTGCAGAGACAATCATTGCAATGAGAACCATTGTAGTGACAATCATTGCAGTGACTTTCATCGCAGTGACTTTCATCGCAGTGACTTCATTGCAGTGAACTACGTCTACGTTGCAGTGACAATCATTGCAGAGACAATCATTGCAATGAGAACCATTGTAGTGACAATCATTGCAGTGACTTTCATCGCAGTGACTTCATCGCAGTGACTTCATTGCAGTGACTTACGTTGCAGTGACAACATTGCAGAGACAATCATTGCAATGAGAACCATTGTAGTGACAATCATTGCAGTGACTTTCATCGCAGTGACTTTCATCGCAGTGACTTCATTGCAGTGACTTACGTTGCAGTGACAATCATTGCAGAGACAATCATTGCAATGAGAACCATTGTAGTGACAATCATTGCAGTGACTTTCATCGCAGTGACTTTCATCGCAGTGACTTCATTGCAGTGACTTACGTTGCAGTGACAATCATTGCAGAGACAATCATTGCAATGAGAACCATTGTAGTGACAATCATTGCAGTGACTTTCATCGCAGTGACTTTCATCGCAGTGACTTCATTGCAGTGACTTACGTTGCAGTGACAATCATTGCAGAGACAATCATTGCAATGAGAACCATTGTAGTGACAATCATTGCAGTGACTTTCATCGCAGTGACTTTCATCGCAGTGACTTCATTGCAGTGACTTACGTTGCAGTGACAATCATTGCAGAGACAATCATTGCAATGAGAACCATTGTAGTGACAATCATTGCAGTGACTTTCATCGCAGTGACTTTCATCGCAGTGACTTCATTGCAGTGACTTACGTTGCAGTGACAATCATTGCAGAGACAATCATTGCAATGAGAACCATTGTAGCGACAATCATTGCAGTGACTTTCATCGCAGTGACTTTCATCGCAGTGACTTTCATCGCGGTGACTTTCATTGCATTGCAGTGACATTCATTGCTGTTGCAATCAGTGCTGTTCATTTTCGAAACTCCGTAACACAGAAGTATATATAGACGTCTAAACTTCCTTTGAATAAAGGGAATTTCATTCCAAACAGAGTTTTGAAGACAAACAACACATATGTTCCCTGAAATTCCGGAACCCTCCCAATATTGGCAGCTGGTTGGCACCTGCTCCTTGATGATTGGCATCTGTGCCGGATTGGTTGCCTTTCCAAAGTCATAGGTCACAAATTGGCTGAACTCCCCCTGCAGGGCATTCGGCGTCTTCTGTACCGTTGACGGATTCTTAAACTTCATCCTGTGGCGAGTGACCACATCAATCCCATACTTCCTGGTCTGACGGATTGGGCTCTGCAAGTGTTCTGTCAAGATCTCGGTGTGCACATACTTCAGTGCACCAGTCAGATCTGCGATATCATCATCTTCCATGGCGTGGGTGTCCACAGCAGATCCAGCCATACATCTGTAGATATCGAAATCCTGACGGGATTCCTCCATTAACCTCATCTTTCGGGTAGATCAAATCTGAACCACCATTTCAAGTGATGTTCAAAACCCACCAAGAGGAAATATGATGAAATTATGTGGCGAACCGCGGCGAACCCCCCCAAAAAAACACAACACGTGTTGAATTTTGTTCAATTATTTTGAGAGGCCCAAACTGGTGAATCCAAAATAATCCAAAGAGACCCCCTGTCCTGAGCTTCGTCCAATACATCATCTGTCATCTGTGGATCCCCGGAAGCTCCCGAACTTGTAGCAGGCGCAGTTACTGCAGCATGCTTGGCCGAGATCGCAGTCGTGCCTCAGGGCGTTGGAGTCAACAGATCCACCTGGCCACTTTACCAGTGAACTTCCCCGGAAAACAGCTGGGCCCCAACTGCCAAAGGGGCTCCAATATCCCAGACATTGGGCATAATACAAATCATTTTGATTCGTTGATCCCCCGTGTTTGTTCGGGAAATTACAGTTTTTGGCCTCCCACGTTACTCTTTGCGACTCAAAAATGGCTGGAAAATTCCATGTTCACAAATGGTTTTCCCATTTATATAACTGCCCTTATCTACCCTCTGGCAATCAAACATGGCAATGGAACATCCCCCATTTAGATATGTTTTTTCCATCAAAACAATTTTAAACATCTTTTCAATGACTTTGGACAAAGGTGCCGGGCTTTGGCTTGGCACTGGGGGCATTGGGATCCGGACAGGCTGGGAACTGCTCGCCCCCACAGAAGCGACCTCACGGGAACTGGCCCACTGACCACAAGTGGTGAAGAGGTCTGATGATGATGATGATGATGATGATTATGGCTATGGAAAAGCAGAGGTGGGAACAGTCAGAGAAAAGAGAAGAGGAGAGAAGATCAGGGAAGTGAAAGAGCACAAAGAAAGAAGATGCAGGTGCGCGAAAAGGTAGGGAAGTCGCGATTCACTATGTTTTTCCAATGATTGTGGCTCCAGAGGGTCGAAAAGTAGGCTCGCTAAAGCGGCGGGTGCGGATCCATCTGGCCAGATGAGAAATGAAAAATTGCACGCCGTTGTGGCGCGAAGCACATGTCCAATTCAAAATGTACAAAGCACATTTTAAGTCGGACAGCTTTGTCGAAAAAGTGCACGCCGTTGTGGCGCGAAGCACATTTCCATGTCAACAGCGTAAAAAACTGACGGTCTCAGACCACTTTTGGAAGTTGAGATGATGAAAAAGTGGACTCCTTTGAGGCGCGAAGCAGATTTCCAAGTCAAAATGTACAAACACACCATGCTCGGACCACTTTTGGAAGTTGACATGTCGAAAAAGTGCACGCCGTTCTGGCGCGAAGCGCGTTTCGAAGTCAAAAGTGAAAAAAACTAAAGGGTTCGGAGCACTTTTGGAAGTTCAGATGTCGTTGTGCGTGGCAGGCGCAAGGGATTCTGCATGTTGTTACAAGTGAGCAAAAACGGGCGAAGGCTTTGTAGCAATTTTAACTACAATCACCACTACAGTAAGCTACACTACACTCCAACACTACACTACACCACACTACCAAGACCACTAAAACAACTACAACTACACTACGGTACACTACACTACACTAATTACATCACATACACTACACTCCACTACACTCCGCTACACCACACTACACCACACCACACTGCACTACACTAGGCTAGACTCGACTAGACTACACTACAGCACGCAACACTACAGCACACTACGCTACACTACACTACATTACATTGCATTGCACTACATTCATTACACCACACCACAACTACAACTGCAACTGCAAGACGCTAATGACACTACACTACAACTACAACTCCACTACGCTACAACTACAGCTACAGCTGCACTACGCCACACTACATCCAGCAGTTGTGGGTGAGGTGACCACTGCAACCATTGCAACCACTCAAAAAAAACACACAACTCCAACCACCTTTCGGTCCATCAGTGGGTTCGGTCTGCCACCCATGCATCACAACAACTCACCTCTCCTATAGCGTCCTACCTTTGAAACTTCCGCCTTGTGCGGTACTACTGGAATGGTATGGTATGGTACGGTATGGTATGGTATGGTATGACGTTATATGGTATGATATGGTATGGTGTGGGATGATGTCGTCTGATCTGATATTACATGAAAATGAATATGAATATGACCACGAACATGACGAGGACAATGACAGTGACAATAACAGTGGCGATGACAATGACAATGAGGATGAGGATGATGATGATGACGATGAGGATGACGATGACGATGAGGATGCTGATGACGATGACGATGAGGATGCTGATGATGATGATGATGATGATGATGAGGATGAGGATGCTGATGAGGATGAAGAAGATGATGAGGATGATGATGATGATGATGATGATGATGATGATGATGATGATGATGATGATGACGATGACGATGACGATGAGGATGACGATGATGATGAGGATGCTGATGATGATGACAATGAGGATGCTGATGATGATGATGATGATGATGATGATGATGATGATGATGATGATGATGAGGATGAGGATGAGGATGAGGATGAGGATGATGATGATGATGATGATGGTGATGATGATGATGATGATGATGGTGATGGTGATGATGATGATGATGATGATGATGATGATGATGATGATGATGGTGGTGATGGTGATGATGATGATGATGATGATGGTGATGATGATGATGATGATGACGATGACGATGACGATGACGATGACGATGACGATGATGATGATGATGATGATGATGATGATGATGATGATGATGGTGATTCTGGTGGTGATTCTGGTGGTGATGATGATGATGATGATGATGGTGGTGAGGTGGTGAGGTGGTGAGGTGGTGAGGTGGTGTGCTGAGGTGGTGTGGTGAGGTGGTGTGGTAAGGTGGTGAGGTGGTGAGGTGGTGAGGTGGTGAGGTGGTGAGGTGGTGAGGTGGTGAGGTGGTGAGGTGGTGAGGTGGTGAGATGGTGAGGTGGTGAGGTCGTGAGGTCGTGAGGTCGTGAGGTCGTGAGGTCGTGAGGTCGTGAGGTCGTGAGGTAGGAGTAGGAGGAGTAGGAGGAGGAGGAGTAGGAGTAGGAGGAGGAGTAGGAGGAGTAGGAGGAGTAGGAGGAGTAGGAGGAGTGGGAGGAGGAGGAGTAGGAGGAGTATATAGGAGGAGTATATAGGAGGAGTTTATAGGAGGAGTATATAGGAGGAGTATATAGGAGGAGTATATAGGAGGAGTATATAGGAGGAGTATATAGGAGGAGTATATAGGAGGAGTATATAGGAGGAGTATATAGGAGGAGTATATAGGAGGAGTATATAGGAGGAGTAGGAGGAGTAGGAGGAGTAGGAGTCGGAGGAGTAGGAGTAGGAGTAGGAGGAGTAGGAGTAGTAGGAGTAGGAGGAGCAGGAGGAGGATGAGGAAGAGGATGAGGAGGAGGATGAGGAGGAGGATGAGGAGGAGGATGAGGAGGAGGATGAGGAGGAGTAGGAGTAGGAGTAGGAGGAGTAGGAGGAGTAGGAGGAGTAGGAGTAGGAGGAGTAGGAGTAGGAGGAGTAGGAGTAGGAGGAGTAGGAGGAGGATGAGGAGGAGGATGAGGAGGAGGATGAGGAGGAGGATGAGGAGGATGAGGAGGATGAGGAGGATGATGGGGAGAGGACGATGATGAGGAGGAGGAGGATGATGCCGATGAGGGCCAATCAAAGCTGCCAAAAAGATGCTGCTTCCAATGACATGGCTCATGGTGGTGTTGATGATTCTGGCGACAGCAGTTGGGAAACAGGTTTGATGTTTTGGGTCCCGATCCCGGAGCCGATTAGGTTCTCTGGGTGAATCGCGAAACTGCAGCAAGGGGCAATTCTTGTGCCCCTGCGCACCACAGCCAACTCCGGGACAACTTTCGTCATAGAAACACGGCAGCGTCTTCGAATGCAAGCAGCTTGCACATGGCGAAGCATCACCTAAGCCAGTCTGCTGAAGGGAATGTAGTGGGGGTCTCTATTGCTTTGGCACATCGAAATTTCCCGAAGGCACAGCAAGTTTAGCCAAAAAACTATAAAACAACTTCACGTCACTATGGGTATTGAAGGACCGACAATCAACCTCCCAGTTCCTGGAAGCTGGGGTCAGGACTTCCAAGCTCCAGCTTTGCCGGCTTCGCCTCTGGCTCTGCTGGTTTGGCTGCTGGCTTCGCTGCTGGCTTCGCTGCTGGTTTCACTGCTTCCTGCTTGGCATCCGCGTCTGGGCATGCAGGGAACTGCCCGTCCTTGTCCCCGCAAAAGCGGCCTGGTGTTGGCAGCAGCGGGTTGGGGGAATGCCAAATCCAGCACTAAGTTGGTGCCATTCCCTGGCAGTGAAAATGTCCACCCCTGGGTCCCGCACAATTCTCTAAACCCTCTGCTCCGCATCCCAATCCAGGACAGCTTTCATCGTAGAAGCAACGCATTTTGGAGGAGTGCTGACAAGGACATGAATCGTCACCTTGCGGAGCATGGGAACTAGCGCATATGCCAAACAGTGGATTCCAGCGGCGTCAGAAAAAGCATGGCTTGAAGCTGAGAAAGCAACGGTGTTTGCTCAGCTTCAGACTGGCCAATCTCACAGCAGGGGAGGCCGCTGCCACCGCCGCTTCCTTTTTGTCCTTCTCCTTTTCTGAAGGAAAGAGGATCATCGAATCTGGTTTCCTCGTCTCCAGGACCACGGCTTTCTGGGCCTCGGGACCTGAACAACATCCCCACGGGGTGATTTCCGCGCTGGGCCGTGTTCATTGATTTTACTTTTTCTCATTTGATTACTTTCAGAGGCTTGAAAACCCGCAGTCTTTACAGTGTATCTTGGAATCTTGGACAACTAATTATCTGAGATCTGGTGGCGTTTCCAAAACAGAAAGCGACCTCATGCGGACCTCAGTTTTTCGCATGGGGATATTCAATATATAAATTGGATGACTACTCAACTAATCATAATAATGAACCATTTTCGAAAATCAGACAATCCACATTCTGGAATCTACTTGGTCGTTTCTTGATTACTCATGTCTGAGGTCTAAAGACAAGACATTTTTTGGCCAAGCCTCTATCACTCTAGTTCCAAGGGCATCTAGAAGGCAGAGCCCTGAAAAATATGAGGTTTTGTTTCGGGCCGGCCCTCTCCGCCTAAATGCCCTGCGAACTAGACTACATGATCAAAGGAATTAGAGGCCAATCTTGTTTTGCTAAACATCTAATCCCTCCAGTTTCCAGGCCACGTAGCATGGCTCTCCCCGGTTACAAAGGCATTACAGGTCACCAAAAAAAATACGCGTTTTGTTGAAAACGCAACCAGATTTCACATAATGTGAGATTCCAAGATAAAAATGCGTAAAAATATGTAAAAAAAAAATGTTGAAACATTTGCAAGTTCAATGAATGACAAACAGTAGACCGCCAAGGGCGCCACCAGTGACAAACCACTGAGTGTCCCCACCCCAAGGACACAGGCCGAGCCAAAGGACCCAAAATGCGCCATGGCACATGGCCTTCATTGGATCGCCTTCGGTTAAACTGTTGAAGCTTAACATGGCCGAATACTCAGCCTATCTCAGCATTATCCCGGGGGACAGGTTGGTGAACATATGCCCATGATGGTAGGTTTGCGGGAATTTCTTGTGTTTCCATGTGTCATGTGTGGTTTGGAGCCACTGGCACTGAGAGAAGTTACAATCAAAGAAGACTCATAATGAGATTGCCACAGAACCTGCAGGACGAGAGAAAGAATCCTGCAAAGATCCGCTCTTGGATAAGACGTAGATAAAATCAAGGCCCATATAGCATTATTGAGGGCCCGGTTTGCGCCAGGAATTTTTCGCCCTTCCCGGGGAATTTGTTCCCCCTCAATGTCGCATCAATTCCCTGGCTATTTGCAGCATGTTAAACCTCGAAGCTGCCGTTTCGACATAATTTGCAACATTTTGGAACCACTTCTACGGTAACTACAGCATTTTGGCGCTACAAACTGACGGTAAGTAAAGCATTTTGGAGCTAGAAACTCTTATTTCTGCCGGATTCAGAATTTTTTGGAGCTAGCAGCAATCTGGGGTTGGTTCAGCTAGAAGTGTTGTTGGGGCTGCTGTGGTGTGTGTTTGCGGTTGGTTAAAGGTATCGGTATCGTGGGTTGGGTAAGTCATTCCAGGTCGGTTTAAAGTTGGTCTATAAATGGCGTTTGTGTAGCGCTTGTTTGGCGTGAATTTAGTGTTGGTGCAATATGTTGTTTAGGGTTAGTTTGCGGTTTAGCTAGGAGTCCGCTTAGTTTTAGGGTTGGTTCAAAGAGCATGGTATTAGGGCTGTTGTAGGATTTGTTTCGGTTTGGGTGAAGGTATTTTGGAATACTTCTTATTCTTTAAGATATGTTCAGTGTTGGTTTAAGTTTGGTGTAAGGTTTTGTTTAGATTTGGTTTAGGGTTGTGTTCCAGGCCGCTTTGAAACTGTACAGTAGCTAAATTGATTTAGGGTTTAATTTGGGCGGGCTTAGTGTTAGCTTAAAGTTTACTCTGGATTTATTTAATGTTGGCGTAATGCTTATTTAGCATTTTGTTCGACTTTTATTTCTGGCGTGCTTAGTGTTTGGTTTAAGATGTGTTTGAATTTTCTTTCGGTTCGGTTTATAGGGTTGATTCAGGGTTGGGTCAGTGGTTTATTGCTGGTTGGCTTAAGGTTGGTGCAAAGTTTTATCTAAAATCGGTTCAGGGTTTGATTCGGAATTTGTCGAAAATTCATTTGTCTTTTAGGTTTGGATTTGGGTTTGCTTTGGGTTGGGTTAACCCTTTATTTGGCATGCGTTTCAAGATTTATTTGAGGTTGCTTGAAAATTTAAAGTTGGCTTGGGGGGTGACTTTAAGGTGCGCGTGCAGTTTCCCTCGTGGGGGTTTTATTTCTTTTTTATCCATTTATGTATATAATATATATATATGCATACAGATAGTTTGCTTTAAGGTTTTCTTTGGAGTTGGATTAAGGGGTTCTTTGTAATCGGTTTATGGTTGGTTTAGGATTGGTTTGAGGTTGGTTTTAAAGTTTGATTGGAACTGGTTTGGGGACTATGGAATGTGGGTTTAATTTTTTATTGAATGTAGTTCGGAAATTTGTTTGAGGTTGTTGAGGGTTTTGTTAAAGTTGGCTTAATGGTTATTTCAAGTTGGCTTAGGGTCAATGTAATGCCGGCGCGCTTTCTGTTTTAAAGTCGTTCACGGTTTGGTTTAGAATTGGTTTGGGGCTGGTTAGAAATCTATTTTGGGTTGATTTGTGGTTTATTGAGGGTTGGTTCCAGGTTTTCTGTTCGTTTATTTGGGGTGGTTTCAGGTTGTATTTCAAAAATTGTTGGTGCTTTACTAAGGGTCAGTTTATCTTGCTATTTCAGATTGGCCAATGTTTTTTTAGGACTTGGTTCAACATTTATTTATGGTTGATTAAACATAGATCTAAGCTTTGGTGTCGTTTTTATTTTGAATTTTCTTTAGGGTTGGTCAAAGATTGGTTTAAAGCTGTATTTACTGTTTAGCGCCAATTAGTTTGCAGTTTCAAATTCGTTTAGGATTTGGGTAAGTAAGGTTGGATTTGGGTTGCAGTTGTTTTAGAACTTTACTTAGGGTTGGTTCAGGTCTTCTTTGTTTTATTGAAAGTTTGTTTATAATTTTTGCTGGCTTGCTGGCTGGCTGGCTTGCTTGCTTGATTGCTTGCTTGCTGCCCTGCTCGGTTGCTCAGTTGCTCAGTTGCTCGCTTGCTTGCTCGCTTGCTTGCTCGCTTGCTTGCTCGCTTGCTCACTTGCTTGCTCGCTTGCTCGCTTGCTTGCTCGCTCGCTCGCTCGCTTGCTTGCTCGCTCGCTCGCTTGCTTGCTCGCTCGCTCGCTTGCTTGCTCGCTCGCTTCCTTGCTTGCTTGCTTGCTTGCTTGCTTGCTTCCTTGCTTGCTTCCTTGCTTCCTTGCTTCCTTGCTTCCTTGCTTCCTTGCTTCCTTGCTTCCTTGCTTCCTTGCTTCCTTGCTTCCTTGCTTCCTTGCTTCCTTGCTTCCCTGCTTCCTTGCTTCCTTGCTTCCTTGCTTCCTTGCTTCCTTGCTTCCTTGCTTCCTTGCTTCCTTGCTTCCTTGCTTCCTTGCTTCCTTGCTTCCTTGCCTGGCTTGCTTGCTTGCTTGCTGGCTGGCTTGCTTGCTTGGCCTGCCTGCCTGCCTGCCTGCCTGTCTGGCTTGCTTGCCTGCTGGCTTCATTATGAAAAGATGATCGGGGAAAAATATCCCCGGGGAAAAAAATACCCAGGAAAAATACCAGTATTGCGCCCATTATTGAATTGCGTATTGTTTCAAGTGTGCAGATTTCAAAGGCATTAAACATTAAAAAAAAAACACGACTTCCAGTAGCAGCTTTTCGCAGCTTTTCCTCTAGCTGCACGCTGCCACCTCGGCCAAGAGTGTTTGCACAGCTGGATCTCCAGCAGCCAAAGCTTCCGCCTGTCACTGTAGGTGACTTCATTCCCAGCTCATACGCTATGATCATCCGCAATACATTGGGTAGTACAATCACCTATGATATCTATGATCATCAACCAACTGGGCTTTAGCGACTTCAGCTTCAATCCCAAGTTCAGTTGGTGGAAACCGGATGGAGCCCCCAAGAACTTTTGATCAGGATTGCGCGCATGTTTGATGAGCGGCCCTTCAAGGATTCCAGGACTCATTGGCGACAAATCACCCTGACTGGCTTGACCTGGTGTTTTTGACTTCCTATGTGCAAACGTCAATGCCTGGTGATTGGGTCTGACAATACCCAACAAAAATCGAAGCGTCGGGGCTCTCACCATGGCTCATCACCATTACAATCGCCATATGCGCACTTATGAATTGGGGTATAATGTGGTAAGGCCAAAACCATAAACCGTCCCCAATATCACCCAAATGTGTTTCTTTAAATCCTTTAAAGGAATGGAGGGTACCCTCTTGTAAATTAACCGGCAGGACTGAGGGTTTGCCCGGAACGGAATGAAAGACGTCTTAAGGAGACTCATTTCACTGCGCAGGCGCAGTTGTGACTTTGGTACATCTTTGGGTTACTATGTTCCACGTCAAATTTTGGAAAAATCTGTCGGAAAAGTGAACCCTCTGCGGAATTCATGCGTGTCGGCCTTTTCCCGTTTTTCACTTTTTGGCAAGTCTGGAATGTTCGTGTGGTATGACGGTATGACTTATATAAACCCTAAATTAAAACCCTAATATATAGAAGTATGGTTAATTGTTCCATGGGGCCGCGGGATTGTCCAATGGGTTGATAGTTGCTGGGTCTGCCCTCGGGTATGGCCCATACCCTCGTACTCGGGGTTTGCCCTTTGGGCAATCCCCTCGTTCTGTGCGTAAATTAACATAGCTATCGCAAATCGCTGGAATATGAATGTACATAAATCATCGTAAATCATGGAACCAAATGTATCTAAATGTGCCATGTTCATCCATTGTCCCTAGCTATGTTAAAATTATCAGGTAGCCATCAATTTTTTCAACGGATTTTAAGCAAGCCTGGCTTCGGGTGATATTGGGGGATGGTTAGCGGAGAGTGGCCTTGCCTCCTTCCGAGCTTCTGGGATCCGCTTCAGCCGAAGCAAGGCCATGGCTCGGCGGTATCTGGCTTTCTCATCGTCGCAGGCCTGGCATGGAGGTTTGGGTAGGCGCCGCCACGGTAATGTGGGTTGATTTAAGGGAACATCTACAGGGAAGCAACGTGATTTATGTGTGTTTATGAAACTTCAAGGAGTAAGAAAATCTGACCGGCTGCAAAATCACCTAATTTAACGAGAAAATATGGATGAATATGGGAGGTACTCTGTAACCAGGGGATTTTCATGGATTTCCATGAATTTCCCATTGGTGCCTAGAAATCTCGGATCTACAAAAGAATGTCTAGCAGAGTCTAGCAACTTTAGAAAGAGGTTCATTATTATGGTTCAACACCATGGACCTGGGACCGAAGAAAGGCTTTGGCCGACCGCCCCTTCGACCTGGATCGCCGCATCGGCACTGCTGAGCGCAGCCGTGAAGTCGTTGCTTTTCAGCTGCGCCGCCGAGAGGTTCTTGTAGAGGTCCGCCACCAAGCTGGACCTGGTGGATGGGGGAGCGGGAACGCCTGGCGTGAACCATGGGAGGCTCGATTTTGATTATATAATATGTAAATTTTCTCAAACATTGAGAAAAAACGAGATTTACGATAGATTTACCTTGTGAAAATGTGTGAATGAGTCTTCCGGACGTTGTCAGCTTGGACGTGACCATCTCATCAAGCTCGGAGTCGAGACAAAGCTGGGCTTTGCACAAGAAGCTGGGTGTCAAAAACACATGTCATTAGGTTGCAAGGGATATGGCTCAAAACTCTTGGACCCCCAAAACGGATGGTTAATTGATTATTTATAAACTATGTAATATATAATTATATAATATGTTATGATGGTTCTGATGTTTCTAGATCCTAAAATGGGCCAGCCGCCAGCCATTCAGCCATTTGTTTCCATCACCCCATCTGAAATGCTGCTGAGGAGCTGCTTTGCAGCTAAGGATGCGCTCATCAAGACAGATGCTTCCCGTGCCAGGTGTAAGGTGTCGAGACCAGCTTGATATTTTTGGATGGCCCCTGCCACCTGACCGGATCTCATCAGCTCGTTCCCCTCGGCCTTCAGGCCAGATGCATCTTTGAAGTTCTGGGCGATGATCTTTTTCAGACCTGTACTAAATCAGATGGAGCAAAAGGTGACCAGACCCTGTTGACCTTTCAAGAAACAAATGAAACTAAATGGATTTTGATGAGCTGGCTCGCGGGCATCAACTCAGCAGAGCCTCCCATGTTGCGCTCGATGTCTTGGTCCAGGTCATACTCCTCGCGGTCCTTGGTATAACCTTCACAATTGAGCATCGCTGAACCTTGTCCGGCTGAAAGTCGCATCGTTTTCCCCTCCTGGGAGGCAAGACCATGGTGGAGATTTTGAAACGGCTTCGATACTGTAAACAGATCGCAGTGGAAAATTATTCAAAGCATGCTTTATGACTCATGACTCGTATTGACTCGTGACCATCAATCAAATAGAGCGATAATTGTCGTAGTCGTGGTCGTAGTCGTCACCATCCCATCATCAGTATCATCAATATCAACACCATCACCATCATCATCATCATCATCATCATCATCCATCATCATCATCATCATCATCATCGTCGTCATCGTCATCGTCATCGTCAGCGTCATCATCGTCACCACCTCCACCATCATCATCAAGAAAATTAACGACATCAACAAAATAATCTTTAAGGAGCAGCCTCAGTAGCAGAAAAATAGTACGAAAAGAAAAGTACTGACATACGTAGCTCCTCAGTGGTATCCTCATTGTCTAGCTCCAGCAATGCTGCATCTGCATCAAACTTCTTCCACTTTGCATAGTTGTCATCAAATCGCCCTGCGGCTGGCGCTACCACACAAGGCCTCTCCTGCACTGGCCCTGTTGGTGTGAAATGTTGCGTGTCCACTTTGGGTCGCACTTCCACCGCCACCCTGGTAGAATTTGCAGAACTTCCATTGGCATCACCCGCAGCACCCGCAGCACCCTTAGCACCCGCTTTCCTGCTTGACTTCGCCATCTTGACAGCCTCCCGGCGCCAATGCGCCTGAATCTGCTTCACCTCCTCTGCTGGTCCAGTCAGGGCGTTCAAATCCATCCCCATGGAATCCACACAATCCATGCCATCCTCTTCCAAATCATCCATGTCCTCAAACTCCTCCCACTTCTGGTACTCCGCTGCTAGCTGGTGACCTGTTGTGTCCCCGGCATCTGCCAGGCAAATGTTGGAGAGATCAGTCTCATCATCAATGGCGGCATTTTCCTTCACTTCTGCAGCAGTCACTTCATCTGCAGCCTCTTTCGCAGGCATCGACTCCTGTACTTCTTGAGCTTTTAGCTTGGAGATGGCTTGATCCAGCATGTCCTTGGGGTCTGCACTGCGATCAATGGACTCCCTGGCATTCTCAACTGCCTTCAGATCCACCTTGCTCACACGGCAGCTGTGATAGGAGTCACAACGATCCACCTCCTGAAGTGCGGCCTCAACATCAAAGGCATCCCACTTGGAATAGCCCACATCATATGTGTGACGGGCAGCACTTCCAGCTTTCTGCGACAGTTGGCAGACATCCTCATCGGCTCCAACGGTCATCCTGGGCCGAAACGTCCTGGCACTGGTCATCTGCAAGTCTGGATCCATACTTCTGCTGCAGCCATGGCTTTCTACAATGCACAATACCGTCAAATTCAGCACAGCAACACGCACTTGCTCAGAAATATCTTATCGAATTACTGATGTGGAAACGCATCGTACGTGCAAAAACACTTCAATTAAACCTGACAGGAGCGGTTGGAGGACTAGAAACGAGAAATTGTGTGAAGGAAATCTTTCTATGTCCTGGCTAGAAGGGTCAAATCGTTCTGATGCAGCGCGTTCATCCTCTATTGACATTGGAAAATCAGATTGCGAAAACCGTGCGAACCGAGAAAATTGAACACAGGTTGTTTGAAAATGGCATGGTGGTTCTTGGGTTAGCCACGTCCCATAACAAAGAAATGAAGCAGGTACGTGGAGTTGATCAGACTCCATATCAGTCGTGGCATAGCCTTCTTCGTTGGGCAACCAGCTATGCTCACGAGGTCGTCCCCCTGCTGGAAATCAAGTGAGCCAAACTACGATTAGAACATCTGACGAAAATGAGCAGAGCACAAGTTAGAAGTTTTACAATCTCTTCAGATGTTTCACACACACGCCCCGCTGCCGCGGGGCATTTAAGGCCCCGACGAATGAGATGATTGTGAAAACGAAAGAAAAATGGAAATGACATGACGACGAAAATGAAATGACAATTACTTAACCGCAACACAAGAGGGGGAACGCAAAAAGGAAAAGGGAAAGAGAGAACACCAACACCAACACACCTAGCCCGAAACGGGCAAACCCTGAAAGGGCAAGGAAAAAGAAAAAGCGGACGGACGACAGGCCAAAAACCAACCAAAGGAGGGGGGGCGGACAGAAGCGCCTGACACAACCTACAAGGCGAGAGCCAAAACCTACCTCGGCACGCGAAGGACCCAAACCTGACCTAGAAAGGGAGCACGCATGAGATAGGGGACCAATGGGGACCTAGTGGATGAAAAATGATGCATCCACACTGTCATGCAAAATCCCCTAGTTAGGCTCAATGGCCAGAGTTCGAATCAACCCTATAGACAGCTGAAGTAGTCAACCCCTGAATTACGTGCACAATTGAACCTCACCAACGACCAAAAAGGAAGAGTCACCATACCTGCAAGCATGGCCTGTACCTGGAATCCGCATGTTGCAATTCTGTCACGCTCTCGAGCAGCAGCGAAAAAGAAAAGAATTGTTGTCGCGGCTTCGGCTTCGGTCTGCCATCCCTAAACTCAAACAAAGGTGATTCCCAGGCACAGCGGGCAGCTGTTCAACGCACACTTCACGACCGACATTTGAGAACTGAAAAGAAGGCCAGCGGTTCACATTACTTAAATGAATTACCAATTCAAAAGTGTCAATTCAGAGATCGATTCAACGTGTCAATTCTTAGCCTGGAAAGGCTTTCCCCGAGGGGTTCATGCCACCTTGACGAATCCAGCATGAATCACACACTTGCTCAGAAATATCTTATCGAATTATTGATGTGGAATGCATCGTACGTGCAAAAACACTTCAATTAAACCTGACAGGAGCGGTTGGAGGACTAGAAACGAGAAATTGTGTGAAGGAAATCTTTCTATGTCCTGGCTAGAAGGGTCAAATCGTTCTCATGCAGCGCGTTCATCCTCTATTGACATTGGAAAATCAGATTGCGAAAACCGTGCAAACCGAGAAAATTGAACACAGGTTGTTTGAAAATGGCATGGTGGGTCTTGGGTTAGCCACGTCCCATAACAAAGAAATGAAGCAGGTACGTGGAGTTGATCAGACTCCATATCAGTCGTGGCATAGCCCTCTTCGTTGGGCAACCAGCTATGCTCACGAGGTTGCCCCCCTGCTGGAAATCAAGTGAGCCAAATTACGATTAGAACATTTGACGAAAATGAGCAGAGCACAAGTTAGAAGTATTACATCTCTTCAGATGTTTCACACACACACACCACACACATTAGAAAAGAACTGGATCATTGGAGTGATCCGTTGGGAACTGAATCCCATAACGTGTAACCAAACCAGATTTCCGAGCCTAGGTAGCCGGTTCTTGGCTTAGCCGGATGCCAAATCTTAAATTTGCAGGTACGCGGAGGTGATCAATCTCCGCTTCCCCCATTGTGGAGTAGCTGCGTTGGCACAGTCAGGTATCCACAATGGGCCTGTGCCCCCTGCAAGAAAAGAAGTTTTACATCTGTTCAGATGTTACACACACACACACGCACACACACGCACACACACACACACGCTAGACAAGAACTAGATCATTGCAGGGATCCGTCGGGAACTGACCCCGATAACATGCAACTAAACAAGGCTTTTCGTGGAGGGCTTCTCGGCCTAGTCCCGTATCGGAAAATAAAATTGCTTCGTTGGCCCATGCCATCCAAATGCCCATGGGCCCCCTGCAAGAGTAGAAGCTTCACATCTGTTCAGATGTTACACGCACACACACACACGGCCGAAGCCGGGTAAACCCTGAAAGGCAAGAGGAAGAAAAAAGCGGACACCAATGACGGGCCAACGGACAAAAACAGCGCAGGGGGGGAAGGGAACAAACGAACCTCAAGAACCAACCTATAACATTCATGTGCAAAAGCCGAAATGTGTTCCATTTTGCGAGAACGTTGCTGACTGACTGCTGGAAACAAATGACACTGGCATTGAGGTTCATGGGCTGGAGTCCACCATGTCAAAGTAGATCGAAAGGTGAAAAACAATTGACCCAACGTTCGATTGCGGACGCGAACAAACGGTGCACGTACTTTGTGAAAAGGGTGAAAATTGACAGCATGATGAAAAGTGAAACCCAACAACCAGTGCTTGATTTGGTCACACATAGAATCTGACAAAATCTGAAGGCGCATGGGAACATTGGGGGGCGGTGGTCCAGTTCCTTTAAACTGAAGAATCAACCGAAGTTGGGATTGACTTCTGGTACGAAAAGCTTCCCCCAGATGATGAGAAAGCCGCCAAAGCAAAAACAAGTATGTAACGTCCGTTTGCGTAGACTTTAAAAGTTTTAACACATGAAACTTTTCGATTGTATCCGATCCCAACCGAGTCAGCAGTTTGTAAACAGCTTCAGATGTATGAAGTCTGCGTCCCAAGAAGCACATTTGTTCTGTGGGTGTCCGTTTCTGATGTCTTCGACAGAACTTCCGACTGCGATACAAGAACGGCTTGGTGAACAATGGTCCAAATCTCTGCTTTCCAATGTGGAACTTCGTCAGTAGGGAGTTGATCCACGGCCAATTGTACTGAGGGCGGTACGTTGTTTGAAAGGCAGTTTTAAGAGCACTCAAATGCTCGGAACTGGTGTGTTGCAATGGAAAACAAGCAAATTGATAGAAATTGTTCAAAGGAAACCAAATTTTCAAAGCAGGTTCAAAGTATGCTAATTGCTGATTACAAAGTTGACGGTATTTTCGAACTCGACTCTGTTCTCGATCAAAAACTCAATGATCTGTGGCGCCAATGTAAGTCGGCAGTAAACAAATCCAAGCGCGTGTAAATGATGGATGACTGTGTCCACCAGGTCCATGTGAATCTATATGGTACCTGTACATGTTGGAGAATCGTCATAAGGCGTCTGCGTTTCTGCGTCCATGATTCCAGGCATATTCCAAAAGCAGTCCAATGGCTGAGAGACCACAACAACGTTCGTTGAATCTGCCAAGGCAACTGAGAGGAATACTGCAAAAGGCTAGCAAGGAGCAAAGCATAGGATTGAGCAATTTGTCGAAACTGTTCGAATTTACGTCGACATTTTCGAGCGATTTGCTGAGTAAAAGGCTGAATCATGCCACCTGCTCCTGGTGGGCTTACTTGATCTGTAGTGAAGCCAAACTGTCAGTTACGCAGCAATTGAATAGCCGCCAACAGTCGAATCTGAGCATCTACATTACATTTTACCAAAATGGCAGCTGAAAGACCCCAATCACTCAAAATGGGCTCAAGGTTAGGTGCATGGGCTTGATCGAATTGCTTCAGGACATTCTGAAGGCTATCAACACTTTGATACAATTGTTCTTGTCGATCTTTGGGCACATATCGTTTTACCCAGTCCCGAACTTTTGCTTCAGTACCTGATTGGTGTACAGCAAAGAAAGCTGTTCCATCCTTGCGTCGATAGGTCTCCATCGGATCACCCGGTGCATTTGATGTAGGTGACGCATTGAGCGGCGCAAAATAGTTTCCAAGAGATGCTTGACCTGGTTGACCTGATGCTTGATTTGGCTGACCTGATGCTTGACTTGGCTGATCTGTTTGAGGTGGTGGGGGTGGTGAGTTGTTGGGGTGGTGAGTTGTTGGGGTCCGGCACCTGACTGGCCTTGAGCGCAGCATTCTCAGCCTTTAACTTCTCAAGTTCTTCTAAAATGGCCTGTTGGGGATCCTGTGGGCACAAAGTCTTGTAGTGTTCCAAAGTTGCTTGGACCAGGTTCTTAATACTGGTCAATTTCGTATCCCATTCCTGAGGGTCTTGACCTGATGGCATGAATGTGCTCAGCAACTTGGTGAAATCGATGGTGTCCTTCTGTTTAGGCATTTCACGAAACAGCATGGTAGCAAATGTAGTCGTCTGGAATCATCTCTAGGGCTCCGACGTGGGGCACTGTCCCGTGGACTACGTCGTGGAGATCGTCCTCTTCCAGACGTACGTTGCGAATGTCGAATTGGTCGTGATCGAGAATCTCGTGCCATAGGTATGATGTTGAAGCTAACTAGAATTGTTCAATACCTTGAGCCTACCAAAAGTCTAGAGAATGCGAGAAGAACAGAAACCAGCAAGAATCACATCAACCGAAACAAGAGACGAAAGACACACAACTAAACTGTCAGAATACCGAAATCAGTTTGAACGAAACAGAAATTCATGAATATCCAGCAGCAAGAGACTTTTTTTATACCTCTGGTGCCTAGTATCATGAGAAACTGACAAATTGTCGTTTCAAACATGCAATGTGACACGAAACTACAGGTTGGGTGGAAGTAAAACGGCAACATGTGTGAGTCGACTCAAATGACTGCGAAGGGCCCACCGTTTCTCTTTTTGTGAATGAACTATATCACAAATGAAGTTTGCACAGTGCTCAGAAACCACGCCTCCTTGATGAATAGTGGCATGCGTCTGACGACCGACTGTCAATCCGACCAGACATACGGGCCGAGCCGATCCGTAATTGGCATATTTCTGAGCTCGCAACAAGACATCAGTTAAACTGCGATCCGTAACGTTCCGAACTCCAACAACTCCCTGAGTGTGAAAACCAAGAGCTGCAAGCCATGAAGGATCTGTTGGGTCAACAGCAGACGGTCGTATCAATCCTTCTTCAATACATGACGCTGCTGTCCAAGCATTAGTATCATGACCAAAGATGATATGCTGAGCAATTTGTGGCCGGTGTCGTTGTTCAAAAATCACCAGTTGTAGTTTTGCAACGATAGCCAAGGGCATGTTGTGGCGATCATCAGTGAACAAATCAATAGTCCCAATCAAAGAATATTTAATTGTCAGGGCGTATGAAAATCGTTTCAGCCATGACTCGAATGGCAGCACGGATGTGAACTTCATGTTGGTCGAAAATCGTTCCGTGTCCACGAGAAATGTCATGTGTCAGAAAGCCAAGAAAAGATTGACAATGACGTTTGGATTCTTCAGGCGTCAAATAACCAGGAAGGCGAGAGTAGTGTTCAAGATTCGGAACCCGGCCCTGTTGTTGTTCCATGATGCGACGTAATTCAAATGCATTCTGAATACGGCTAGAATCCTGAAGCAGTGGTACCCGTCGTCGAAGACGTATCATGTCATACAACGTGAACCAATCAATCTGGGTCAAATCCGGAGTCAGCAATGGGCAACGAAACACCACCAATGAAGGCAACGTCCACAATTGAGCGCCAGACCCAAGATGATATTGATATTCAATGACTGTGTGAACTTTGGACGGACGACCAAGAATTGTCGTCATCTGAGAGACTGCTGGAAATTGTTGCAAAACATTGGTTTCAATCAAAGGACCATTGGGACTACAAGAGTGATAAAATAAACCATGGGACGGGATCGTAGGTCCAGACCGTTCAGAAGCTGGTGGATGAGACGAACCTTCAATTCTCCATGGTCTTCGTGCTGGCCGTTCGACACGACCCGTGCGTCGGTGATCGTCAGTCAATGGCGGAGAACGTCTACGATTGTCAACCCGATTCTGAGGTTCCGACACTGCCCCAATCTGGTAAGGATGATTGCTGAATGTCCGTATTGTGAACACGTTGTGACATCAATTGTAACTGATGCAATTGAGCTTGAGCCTGCAAAAGACCCAGTTGACATTGAAAAGATTGAATCTGACAGTGATACATCTGCAATGCTTGTTCACCCTGTATGATACGGTGTGCGATGGCAGACACATCATCGTTGGGAACACTGAACTCGAACTCCCCACTGAACCCACGATAGTGGATACTGGCGTTTGGTGGGGAATGTCGACTTGCTGGAATCATCCAAGTAGGAGGTGGATCACGGGCTGGTGGTCCCCGTAATGATTTAGGCAAAGCAGCAGATGGAGGCATGGCGAAAATCAAAAAGGAAAGCGCACAATGGCTCAGCAAAAGGGTGAATTAAAGAAGAAACTTGGAGTTGCAAATGGTTGAGTAAATTGGTTAAGTAAAAACACGACATCACATATGTAGAAGACGGCATGCTAACAACGAGGAAATTGTAAACTATTGACAAAGAGAAGGCCTGTAAGCCCATAAGATTCTGGAATCAACAAGGACACTGCACTCCAACGCAGTACTGAACATGAAAGAAACATGAACCAACTGAACATGCGCAAACGGAAGCTCTGATTTATACTGAGGCTGCAACGCTCGTGAGACAAAGTGGAAATTGCCCAAAGTGGGCTAATTCATCCCGGATAGGGATTGATCGGTGTCCCTCATGGGGACTAATCCATGTTTGTGATGACAATATGTCATACCCTGATCTCCAAAAGGAGATATCAAATAGTTGACAATTCAACTATGTTCAATCCAGATTGTCCCGATAGGACAGACCACTATCCACCGGAGCGGCCGGTGACCATAGTCTAGACCCGCACGAGGCAGACCGACGGTGCTCACAAGTCAGTGAGTTCACCCTAACACACTGCTTAGGTTTGTTTGAAGAGGATGGATGTAGGTCTTGCCGTCGCCTGTTGCCTGAGTAACCTTCATACGGGGAAAAACACATGACGCAAATAGCTGGTTGATCTGTTTCGAACTGAAGAACTACTGCAAAGTCAAAACACGGTACAACTGGAAAAACACGTTGTTCAAACAGAATTGCAGGTACGTCAGGAAAGCGTCCCTTCCTCATATCCTAGTCTGAAACCTGGAGCTTCGCTGGCCCACGCCAGGAATCAGACCCGTGGGCCCCCTGCACAGTCGAATTATACCGTATGTGATAACTGTTTTCACACACACACACACACCGGCGCGCCTAACGGTGGAGGATCACCCACATCCAGCTGACAGAAGGTTCTTTTTTGAATGCAAAGGAGAGCTTGGTGTGAGACGCATTGGCAAGATGGCACAAACCCATTAGCAGATCAGCCATATTATATAATCATCATATCCATCATAGTCATCATATTCAAATCCTTGCTGCAAAGCCCGAGCAATCCCGTCCGTCCTGCAGCCTTTAGGTCAATTTTTCAACCAGCTGCATGGCAGGGTGGCTGGTGTGTTTTTGAGCTTTAGCCATGTTTTTCCGTCAGTTGGCTTTGTCTGTCAATGAAGAATCACCAGTTTTGAGCTGATGGCAAACAAATTGGGATGTATACTGATGTTTTTTTAAAATACTGATATGCACTGATATACTGTGTGATATATCAATGTTGCCGAAATCTGTGCCAGCAACAGCCAAGGCGTCTGCACATGTGTTACAACTGCCATCTGTTGAGACCTGCAGCGCAACCGGTCACCCTTATCTTTGGCCAAAGGCGCATCAGATCTATGTCACATATTTCATCATATTTCATTTTTGGATTAATTTGGAATCTTGGAGTATCTTGGAATCGCTGATGCAGTGTACCCACAGCCTTTTTTTCTTCGCAAAAGCAGCTCAGTGCAGAATCCAGCTGTTAGCTATCTGCTTCGCAGAATGAAACTGAACTTGTGAACCTTGCAGCACCATGATCTTTTTTGTCTAAATCACGGAATAGGAGGGAAAAATCAAATTATCAAACAAGGGGGGAAGAACAGAAGCAAAAAGGAGCAAAGGGGGGGTAGACATCTATTATTTCTGAGGGTGGGCCGGGAATTTGCCCGCTTTCGATGACGAAACTTTCGGTGACGAAGCTTTCGGTGATGAAACTTTCGGTGAAGAGGTGTGCGATGGAGTTTCAGCGAAAAATGTTGAGTCTTTGCTGGGCCAATTCGTTTACTAAATTTCTTTGAAGAATGTTGTTGATGAAACTGATCTACGTGACCACTTTCTCTATAAGCATCTGCATAGGTTTCGACTAGCCAGTGAGCTCTGGGTTTGCCTACTCGTCTTGCATGTTCAGTTCTAGGTATGAGTGAATTAGGTAGAAAAGGACCTGACCCATGGGATCTTGTGGGTCTAATCGAATGATGTGTCCTAAGAGATGTTTTTTTTCTTTTCAACCATAGTTTTGAGAATTCTATAGCTGTTACACCATAATGACGTTTGATAAGTTCTTTTACCGATGCATTGGTCATTGTTCTGTCAACACTTGTGGGTGGGATATGTAGAATTCTCCGATATCCTTTGATCTGAAAAGCATCTAATCTATGAAGTTCTGACTGGTTAAGTTGGATAGTTTCCAACCGATATAAAAGCTTACTCTGAAGGATTGAATGAAAAACTTGAATTTTCCATGGAATGGAGTTTTGCGCTTTGGCCCAAAACAGTTTGAGTCTGTTGCAAGTGCGGATTGAGTCTGCGATGCGGTTCATGACTTCTTGTTTATTATCAACATTATCAGTAAGGAGGGTACCGAGATATGTGGCTGTATGTTTGCGGGGTATGAGGGATCCGCCTGTGAATTTGATCAAAGATTGCTTTCGGTTCAAGATTATATAAGTTGATGCATTTATCCAGATTCAGTTCCATATTGTAATAGCGGGATTCCGTTTGTATTTCTTTCAGTAGTAGGTTGATATGGTAAGTGTACAAGTAGTTGCCAAAAATCAGCGTGTCGTCAGCATAAAGTACTTCAGAGTATTGAATTGTTCTCGTTGTTTTGGTGTGTTGAGGCGTGCTTTGATGTTGCTAAACATGACTGCCATAAGGAGAACAAATAGGTAAGGTGATAAAGGACATCCCTGTCTTATTCCTGAACGTTGAATTAGATATTCAGACTCTGTGTGTCCAGCAGATACGCGAAACTGTGGGCTGTCGCAAATGTGTGTGTGATAGCTTGTAACATCCGTGGTGGAACTTGAAGTCTTCTCAATACCTGCAGTAATTTTTGTTGGTCAACTTTGTCAAATGCCATCTTCCAATCTAATAGTGTGATAGTTAGATTGGTCCCTGTGCGTTCTGAAATGTCCATGAGTCTGCGAGCTATAAAAATGGCTTGTGAAGTGGATTTCTTTGGTCTGAAGCCAAATTGACTAACTTGTACCCGGGGTTCATAAGTGTGCAATAGACGATGTTTAATCATCGCAGCAAATAACTTGTACAGAACTTGAAGTAGTGCTATAGTGCGGTAATTCTGCATTTTGGTGGCATTTTCTTTTTTTAATCGAAACTATGTTTGCCAATTTCAAGCTTTCTGGATATACATCGCTGTCAAGAATATTGTTGTATGTATATTATATATATATAGATAGATTATCTAGGAGCTTGCCTCGATTATCCCGGTCTAACCATTTGATGAGTTCTGCTGTACAATTGTCGGATCCTGGCGCTTTGTTGTTCTTTTGTGCATCGATGACTTTGTTAAGTTCTTGTAGTGAAAAGTTGGAATCGATCATCGTGTCCATCAGCATCTGTCATAGCGACAGGTATTGCGGGACCATGCGGTACCTGAAGCGGGGCCCTTCGCACAAGGGCATCAGAAAGAAAGCCCGCTTGAGCATCTAAGCATGATGAATTCTGTAGGAAGATATATATTATATATATTATATACAGTATTTGGAGCATCAAAGGACTGCAAAGGCTGGTCCTTTCAGCATCCAAATTAGTGCAGATCCTACGCTTAAGAAATTGAGTGACCTAAGCACAAATAAGCACAAGCGGTTGCAAGCGAAGCTCACGTTTGGCTGAGCTTTACCAGGCCACGATTCCGTAGAAACAGGGCCAGCAGGAGGGCGAGCAAGGTCACCATTCCCATGAAGGACCAATAGATGCCCGGAGAGAGCGGCTCAACCTGAAACAATGCCTGAGAGATCGAGGCCGCAAAGCCGCCCAAGAAGCTGACACCTTGGGGGGCTGTACCATCCGCGCTTTGGCAACAGGTTGAAACAATTTCACATTGTCAAACCTGGCAGAGGGAAATCCCCCATGCTTGATTGAAATGGGAAAAGCATCGATCGGGTGATTTCCAGTGCCCGATTGATTTATCAAAGGGTTCCTCTGCAAATTGGTGAAAACTCAGCTACTCACCAATGTTGTAGCTGAGTGCCATCCCCTGGCACCAGAGACGCGGAGGAAAGAGGTTGGCACAGAACAAATTGATGTTCGCACCCGTGAAGCCCTGTGCAATTCCGAAGAAGAAACCCACGGCGAGATAAGCAGTTCCAAGGCTGGGATCTAGTACCAACCACAGGTATCCGGGGAACGCCACCAGAGTAGCATAGATCGCTCCCACGAAAGCTGTCATTGCAGCACCATATCGATCAGTGAACCAGCCAGCCACGGGTGTCACGGCTATAGCAACCAGTTGACAGGAGGTTCCAACCCACAGCGTGTCCGACGGATCCAACTGCCAAAGCACAGCAGTAAGTGTCCAAAACGGAGGGGCGTACCACATAGTGGCAGTGGCACAAACGCCTGCTGGCTTGAAATTATGTACTGTACCCCAAGATTGAAAGATTGTGAATGCTTTGCTATCACAAATTGCCGAAAACATACAGAATACAAAAGCTGCAGTTTTTGAGCCTGAAAAAGTTGACGCATACCCACCTCCAATCCCTATCAAGAGCACCACGGGGTAGTGAGTCAGTAGCTCTCGCAGGCCCTCATGCGCATCCTGCTGATTCTGCTTCTCCATCTTCTCCCGGACTTCAGACAAAAAGACGTCAGTTTCCTTAGGTTTAAGCTGGCTTCAGAGACGGCGAAACAATAAAACGAGGCCGTATCGATTCCCCAGAAAGTGGACGTATGGGAAAATAAGAAATTGCCTAGGCCTGGCCCAAATCAAAGTTTCCGGAATCCTCATTCTGCCCCATATCGCCAGGGCACTTGGCAAGGCTGAGATTAGGAAAGGAACCCGCCAGCCCCACACCAACATCAACTCAGAACCTAGGCCTTGGTGTAGGAGTGCCACCATGGCACTGGCGAGCACCCCAGATATTTGGCCACCAACCCCTATCATGCTAACTGCCATACCAACGCTGCCAACTGGTGACGCCTCCATGAGGTATGCAACGACTGCACCAATCTCACCACCAGCAGAGAGGCCTTGCAGCACTCTACACATGATCAATACAACAAGGCCTAAGCAGAAATCGCCTCCCAGATGCTTCCCCGGAAGGCATCCTTGAGCAACGGTGGCCACCATCATTGCACCCAGCGATAAAATCGCTGACAGCGCCCGACCACAACGGTCAGCGATGATGCCCAAAATGATGCCTCCCAATGGCCTTGCAATGAAGGTGACTGCGTAGCCGAGCCATGCTCCCAACGAAGAACCTTCGAAGAAATTCTCTGCAATCTCATGTTCCACATAGATGTAAACACCAAACTCGTACCATTCCAGGATGTTTCCAAGTAGTACAGGCCATGTCAATCTCTGTAATCCTATTTTAAAAAAATCCCCGCAATATCCTGTAGACATCTGCAGGCTTCACATTACTGGTTGATGGTTTCAACCCCTCTAAAAAATATTAGTCAATTGAGATTTTTATTCCCAATATATGGGAAAATAAAAAATGTTCCAAACCACCAACCAGACTACAATAAGAGCGCGACTACATTCGGATCCTTCGGACAGGGAGCCCAACACTGTAACGGCCATGACTAGAGTGACAAGAGTTTGGGATGCAGGGATGAGAACATCTTCTTAAACAAAGAAATCCAAGCTGTTCAGATCAGATCTGTTCAGGTTTGTGTCTCAACTCCGCTGAGGAACAAGTAAGCTCCTGTTGTTCCAGGCCCAGACCCACTGGTGGATCCAATGTTAGCTGCCATGGGACCACAGCTCAAATGGCCATATGGTGTGTCCCCTTAAAGACATCCTGCGACGCATGCCCTTGGCCATGAACACTTGCAACTCTTGATTCTTGCAATAAGTAGACTGGGATTTGAGTCAGTTGGTGGGTCGACCACGTATGAACACCCAGTCGATCGATTGAGACGCAACCCTGAGCATAATACCTTGATAGAAAACGGCCATGTCATGGTATGTTCAAGTCATGAGCAAATCTGGACACTGGTCACAACTGCCAGGTGTTGAAGTTCCATGCCGGTCGGTTCTCAGGCCATTGACAGGGCGGGAGTCATGAGTCATGCTTCTCACTTTACAATCTGTACAACTTTATATGTTGGATCATCTTGATCTCCGGTTTACATGGGTTCTGTACATTGACCCAGAAGGACCGTTGCATCACGTGCTGCGGCTGCTGCACTGATTGAAATATCATCGATTGAAAGGGAGGCACCGTGCTGTCATGCAGAGAATGCCCCCCTTTGCCGGGGCCATTGGCTTGGCTCCTACGATCTTCCACGCATCTTCAGACGTGGGGGCGGCATGGTCGGTATGGTCGGCATGATTGATTTGCCAAAATATGGTTCACTTCGCCTATGCGTCAGCTTCACCCAGTCGCGATCATATAGACTCAAGGCCACAAAGATAGTGACTACAGTCACAATGCCCGTGCAGGTCCAGTAGATACCTGAGTACGGGTCACAATTTGAGTACCCTTTGAAATGAAGTGACCGAACCAACAAGAATTGAGGACAAATTCAACAATACATGGGGATCCAATGAATATGGAAATGTTGTGCCCTAAAATTGGCTCATTTGGGTTTGTCTGAACATATCGGCACCTAGAATTATCATCATCTTCCCCATTAAATCAACAACGTAAAGAATTTTGGGGCATCAAGTATACATTCGCATATTATGTATACCCAATTTCTGGTCAAACCCATGGCCCATTGGAAGGCCTGGGAATAAGTCGTCCAACTGATAGAAAGCTTGTGAGATCGCCGCTGCGAAACCACCCAGGAAGCTCATGCCTTGGAGAATGGATATGGGTTATCAATGGGCATGAGGGGGAATATTAACAGGATATCAAATGATATCAATGGGATAGGGCGATGTTGTATTATAGATAGATAGACAGACAGACAGACAGATAGATAGATAGATAGATAAGATTAGATTAGATTAGATTAGATTAGATTAGGTTAGGTTAGATTAGATTAGATTAGATTCGATTAGATTAGATTAGGTTAGGTTAGATTAGATTCGATTAGATTAGATAGATAAGAAAGATAGATAGATAGATAGATAGGCAGATAGATAGATAGATAGACAGATTAATTAGAATAGATTAGATTAGATTAGATTAAATTAGATTAGATTAGATTAGATAGATAGATAGATGGATAGATAAATGGATAGATAGATGGATAGATAGATAGATAGATAGATATGCGTGTGTGTGTGTGTTTTGGTGTTGTTGGTGGTTGTTGGTGCTTGTTGTTGGTGCTTGTTGTTGGTGCTTGTTGTTGGTGCTTGTTGTTGGTGCTTGTTGTTGGTTGTTGTTGGTGCTTGTTGGTGCTTGTTGGTGCTTGTTGGTTGTTGTTGTTGTTGTTGTTGCTTGTTGGTGCTTGTTGGTGCTTGTTGGTTGCTTGCTTGTTGTTGTTGTTGTTGCTTGTTCTTCTTGTTCTTCTTGTTCTTCTTGTTCTTCTTGTTCTTCTTGTTCTTCTTGTTCTTCTTGTTCTTCTTGTTCTTCTTGTTCTTCTTGTTCTTCTTGTTCTTCTTGTTCTTCTTGTTCTTCTTGTTCTTCTTGTTCTTCTTGTTCTTCTTGTTCTTCTTGTTCTTCTTGTTCTTCTTGTTCTTTTCTTGTTCTTCTTGTTCTTCTTGTTCTTCTTGTTCTTCTTGTTCTTCTTGTTCTTCTTGTTCTTCTTGTTCTTCTTGTTCTTCTTGTTCTTCTTGTTCTTCTCGTTCTTCTCTTCTTCTCGTTCTTCTTGTTCTTCTTGTTCTTCTTGTTCTTCTTGTTGTCGTTGTTGTCGTTGTTGTCGTTGTTGTCGTTGTTGTCGTTGTTGCTGCTGTTGTTGTCGTTGTTGCTGCTGTTGTTGTCGTTGTTGTCGTTGTTGTCGTTGTTGTCGTTGTTGTCGTTGTTGTCGTTGTTGTCGTTGTTGTCGTTGTTGTCGTTGTTGTCGTTGTCGTTGTCGTTGTCGTTGTCGTGCTGTCGCTGTCGCTGTTGTCGTTGTCGTTGTCGTTGTTGTCGTTGTTGTCGTTGTTCGTTGTCGTTGTTGTCGTTCGTTGTCGTTCGTTGTCGTTGTTCGTTGTCGTTGTTGTCGTTGTCGTTGTTCGTTGTTCGTTGTTCGTTGTTCGTTGTTCGTTGTTCGTTGTTCGTTGTTCGTTGTTCGTTGTTCGTTGTTCGTTGTTCGTTGTTCGTTGTTCGTTGTTCCTTGTTCCTTGTTCCTTGTTCCTTGTTCCTTGTTCCTTGTTCCTTGTTCCTTGTTCCTTGTTCCTTGTTCCTTGTTCCTTGTTCCTTGTTCCTTGTTCCTTGTTCCTTGTTCCTTGTTCTTGTTCTTGTTCGTTGTTCGTTGTTCGTTGTTCGTTGTTCGTTGTTCCTTGTTCCTTGTTCCTTGTTCCTTGTTCCTTGTTCCTTGTTCCTTGTTCCTTGTTCCTTGTTCCTTGTTCCTTGTTCCTTGTTCCTTGTTCCTTGTTCCTTGTTCCTTGTTCCTTGTTCCTTGTTCCTTGTTCCTTGTTCCTTGTTCCTTGTTCGTTGTTCGTTGTTCGTTGTTCGTTGTTCGTTGTTCGTTGTTCGTTGTTGTTGTTGTTGTTGTTGCTGTTGCTGTTGTTGTTGTTGTTGTTGTTGTTTTTTGGGTTGTTGTTGGTTGTTGTTGTTGTTGTTGGTTTTTGTTGGTTGTTGTTGGTTGTTGTTGGTTGTTGTTGGTTGTTGTTGGTTGTTGTTGGTTGTTGTTGGTTGTTGGTTGTTGGTTGTTGGTCGTTGTCGTTGATTGTTGTTGGTTGTTGTTGGTTGTTGGTTGTTTGTTGTTGGTTGTTGGTCGTTGTCGTTGTCGTTGTCGTTGTTGTCGTTGTCGTTGTTGTCGTTGTTGTCGTTGTTGTCGTTGTTGTTGTTGTTGTGGTCGTCGTCGTCGTCGTTGTCGTTGACGTTGACGTTGTCGTTGTCGTTGTCGTTGTCGTTGTCGTTGTCGTTGTCGTTGTCGTTGTGGTTGTTGTTGTTGTTGTTGTTGTTGTTGTGGTGGTGGTGGTGGTGGTGGCGGTGGTGGTTGTGGTTGTGAATCGTTTGAAATTAATTACATGAAATCACATAGAAGCACAGTCAGACTCAGGTTGGCACCAATGTTGTAGCTGAGTGCTATCCCTTGACAACGGAGACGAGCAGGGAAGAGTTCCGCACAGAACAAGTAGATGGTCGCGCCGTTGAATCCCTGGGCAATGCCAAAGAAGAGACCAACGCCGAGATAGGCAGTTGCACGGCTGGAATCTACGACCAACATCAGATAGGCGGGAAATCCTACCAGAGTGGTGTACATCGCCCCCACACAGGTTGTCATTGCAACACCATAAAGATCAGTGAACCAGCCGGCTACGGGTGTCACGGCCAGACCAACCAGTTGACAGCAAAGGCCAACCCACAGAGCGTCCGAAGCAGCCAGATGCCCCAGCACCGCATTGATGGACCAAAACGGAGGTGCAAACCACATCGTGGCGGCGCAACAAACACCTGGATAGAAGATGCAAAAGGAAAAATTGATACGCCACAACTTGAACTAAGTTTACCGCTAGAATTGCCAAAAGCTGTGGGTTTGATTATGGACCTCTTATTTGACACACATACCCGCCTAAAATGCCAATCAATAGCACAACAGGATAGTGGATCAGTAGCTCCATGATGCTCTTGCACACGTGCTGCTGCTTGTGACCCTCATCGTTTCTCACCTCCGACAAAAACACGTCGGTTTCCTGAATCCTGTTTCTGCCCCACATCGCCAGCGCACCCGGCAAGGCCGAGAACAGGAAGGGGATCCGCCAGCCCCACACTAACATCGCCTCAGAACCCAAGGCCTGATTGAGCACTGCCAACAGTGCGCTAGCAAAGGCCCACGCGGTCTGGCTACCAATGGAAATCATGCACACTGCCATGCCAAGGGTTTGCACTGGTGACACTTCCATGAGGTATGCTGTCACTGCACCAATCTCACCACCAGCAGAGAGGCCTTGTAGCGCTCTGAAGATCATCAATAGTCCAAAACCTAGACCTTGGAATTTGCCTCCGAAATACTTTCCTGGGAGGCATCCTTGAGCAACAGTCGCCACGATCATCCCACCCAATGACAGGTTCACTGAGAGTTTGCGACCATAATGGTCAGCGATGATGCCCAAAATGATGCCTCCCAATGGCCTTGCAATGAAGGTGACTGCGTAGCCGAGCCATGCTCCCAACGAAGAACCTTCGAAGAAATTCTCCGCAATCTCATGTTCCACATAGCTGTAGACGCCAAACTCGTACCATTCCAAGGTGTTTCCAAGCAGCAAAGGCCACGTCAAGCGTAGAAAATGGAGCGTTTCTTTCCTCAGCAAATCACGACATGAGTTGGCTGCTGCTATATAAGCAATCTGTGCAACAAACGTACACTCACGGTACTCACGCGATGGGTCCCGACCCAGAAATGGTGAGTAGCAGAATTGGGGAACACCCTACTCAACTTGTTTAATGTGGCAATGATGCTGCAAGCAAATGTCAAATGTATGACCCGCAAATTTAACACAACCCCATAGAAATTCCATTTCAGTCAGGAAAGTTCTCCTCCAAAGCACTATATTCATGTCACTTTTCCGGGGTGCTGCATTGATGTCAGGTCCCGGCTGAGGATCAAATAGACTCTGCGGTCGCTGCAGGTTGATCCAAAGTCTGTGCTCTCGATGTCTTCGCTGTCAACCTCCACCCGCTGCTCCGCCGCGGCCATGGTCCAATGGATGGACGTGTCTCAAAGAAAGACATGCACTCAGCTGAAATGGCATCGGCATTCCAACTTTGGGGCCTCTTTTCTTTGCATATGTCTGTGCTGCTGGTATTTCTGTGGGTGACTGGTGCTTCACCAAGTACCAATCTGAAATACACTATACACACATATATATATAATATATGATTATATACGTAAGATTTTGTGGTTTCCCTTGCAAAGGCATGGTTCATGATGACATGGTGGTAAGATGTTCATCCCCACCAGGATGCAGCTTAAAGCAACTGCCAGTATCCCATGAAGCTGTGAGCTTTGTTGCGGAGTCTTTTCGAACAATTGCCATTCTTGCACGGTCTTTGATGGTCTGTGTGTCTCTTAAATCATGAAAAATTCCCTTTTTGGCTGATCTTTTCGAACAGCCATGGCCACGGCCACCTACGTTCCAAAAGGACACCCTGTTTCGTGTGTACAACAAAAATCATGGGGAGATCACCGGAACCAGCTGGCGATGTTGGCGAAACACGGCAACACGGATGATTTGTCGACGTCTTCTGTGTATTGAATGGTTGAAATCAGGAGAAACAAGCAATCCACAGATCAATGACTCATAGTTCAGCTTCCCCATGATTCCAACTCCAAATCCATGCGGCTCCCGGGTTGCTGCGCGCTTCGCATCAAAACCCGTAGACGCTGCGAGCATTCTCGCGCAGCATGGTAGCCGCTCGCTGCAGCTCAACGCCTGCATATGGAGAAGCGACATCCCTGATCTCCCATGGGAATCAGTGGATTGACGGATTGACGATTGATGACGATTGATGGGAATGGACACACCAAGCCCATCCGCGCCTTTCAACTCCGCCACTCTGGCCGTGATGGTTGGAATCAATCCAGGGTGACTTAGCCAGTGACCTCCAAAGGTACAGCACAAATTTTCCTGGAGTCTCATCACTTTTTCATATCGTAGAATGGTAAAATGGTAAGAAAAGTTGGGTTAGCAAAAGTCGCAAACCCGTCAAAGAGTCGGAGTTTGGGTGGTTAACCTTGCGAGGGTTGCATCTTCAGGTTGACTCACCTTCACTTTGTGAAAACCATCTAGGATTTCTAAATATATCATGATATATCTAAATATATCGAAGTTGTATGAAGTTGTCCTTCCTTTTTCTCCATGTTTAGTCTAAAATTCATGATCCATGCGCAGCCTTGAACCGGCAGGTATGGTGCATCCGTTTCCACGAGCATCCTCTCCTTGGGCATCGTCTGCCGGTTTTGGGTGGCTCGCTGGCAAAATCTGGCACGTGTTCTTAGATGTTCTTAGTATCTTTGGTCAAATGACATGCTAGGACCCTAGCATGCGCAGTCCACATTTTTCTGCCCCGAAGCTGTTCGCAACAACAAGTTTCCACATCTGATCCACTCCTCTTCACCAAAATTGAAGCGGAGTGAATCAGCTGTGGAAACTGATCCCAGTCAGCTGAGTCTGTTAGCACCTTTCCCTCAAGCCACCACTGCAACTGCTTAGCTGAGGTGGGGCATACTCTTCCCGCACGAAGTTTGGGTGACAAGTGGGTTAAAGCTTCTTTTAATTCACTTGGCAGCACTGCAAGTGCTTCATATGATTCATGTGGCTCTTGGGAGTCCCATGCCACCCGGTACCGATGCAAGAAGTTTCGAGAGCACCATTGCAAATCTTGATGGTACTGTTCCACTGTTCCTCTTGCCTTGTCAACCTGGCTGCTTTGGCCATACTTGGCATCACAAACCACAGGATGGCCGGCATGGGCTAAATGTGCCCTGATCTGGTGCCGTCTGCCAGTGGAAATGCGGATGGCCACTAGGCTGTAGCATTCCTGTCCCCTTGTCAGGTGCGCCTGAGATGCCAAGCACTTGGCTGTGGAACAGGTGTGATGGTTCAGTCATCCACAGAATCCACGAATCCAAGGTAATAGCTTGCCCTAGAATCTTTGCACAAGAAAATGGGTGCAGCAAAACACGACGTCACGACCATATCTCCATATTTTTTGCCAACTGCCCATAGTTTTAACAGGTTTCAACCCCAGCCTGCAACTTCAACCTGGTCACAGCCGGCTTCCCGAGGCCCTCATGGACGCGGCTGGGATCGGCCGAGGCCGACCACGACACCTTAGCCTCGATGCGGCTGCAGGCGGGAGCCAACCAGCCGTGGCAAAGCACCACGTAGTCGCGCTGCAAAGTGCCGGAATGGAGTTGCCTCAGTTCCTATGGCTTGCGGTTACTATTGGTTGCTTCAAAAACCTGTGAATTGGGAATAATACGGATTAATTAATAAGGATTAATAAGGACTAATAAGGTAAGAATAATGAATAATGCAAATATTGGGGAAAAACCCTCAGATCTTGACCCTGATCCTGGGGGTTGATCCCCTTCAGTGTTGGTGGACGTTTGACCCAAAGACAACTGTTCTCGCCTGGCTACACCATTAAGTCATAGAATGCCTGGTAGCTCTTGGCCGTCAGCACCAAACCTGAACTGGGCAGGTCTAGTCGATGCAAAAAGCCGTGTTGATGCGACTCATCTGCCAGGATGGGAAATTGTCTTGGGGCGAAAAGTTGTTGCACGTAGGCGGACAGCTTGAGTGTCTGCGATGAATGCCTTGCAGGACATACGCGACATGTGGTCCACAAACAGTTCCACATTCCCAAGTCGTGCTATTAAATTACATCGAACATCATCGAACCACATCAAACCACCAAAACCATAACGAGAACAGGGCAGCCAAGGCCCAGCCTGGTCCCCTCACCTTTCTGATCCACCTCCCATCCAGAAGGCTTCAGCAAAACCATTCGGTCTGGCAGGTCCAGCACTACCTGTGGCCCACCATCCCTGGAAGCCACCTGGACGGGTGTTGGGCCGCATGGCAGCAGTGATTTCTGCTGCAACCGTGCAGCTTCATCCAGCTGAAATCCGATGTCCCGCAGGCGCCTGGCGCCCAAAACCCCGCAGGATGTATCCATTGATCCACAATGCACCGGCCCCGTAAAGGCTTCCGCCCAGATCAGCCCCAGGATGGCCCTGGCTTCATCCTGCATCTCCCTGCGGCGTTTTGGGGCAGCGGCAGCTATCAGGTGGCTGGCGAGTGAAGCCAGCGGAGACGGAAGCTGCTGGCCATAGATGGCCAAGGCCCAGGCGATGTTCGAAAGATCCCGCAGGTGCAATTCATTGCCCCGGGCGAATCCAAAAGTAGCAGACAGCTCCTGCATAGAGCCATCATCCTTGAGCGAAAGATGGGCACATGCCCACAGAACATTCGCAAATCCTTGTGGTGTCATCTGATGGTCGTGCAAAGCCTTTTGGGCAAGGGCCTCTAGTCCTTTCATGGTCAAAGCTATCTCGCCCTCATCTGCATCCTCCAAGATGATCGGCACTGATGTGGCTGAAGCCCACAAGAGGTTGGCTATGTCCTGCCCTGTAAATCCCTCAAGTACCTCCAGCGATGAAAGAACTGCCCGGTGCAGAAATGGCCATGAAATGTGGTACACTTTGGCAAAGGACCAGCTCAACATGGCCAGCTGTCTCGGTGTAAGTGCCGCCATTTCCGAGCTGACTCTCTGATGAATCTGTTTGGTCATCAGTTCGGCATCCTTGGATCCTTCACATCGGATGATTGCTATGGCCCATGCCAGGGTGCATATGTTTGACATGGAATACGTGTGCAGAGACATCTGCACCATCCTCATCAGGGCCTCCATCTGATCCAGGGGCAAAACTCCTCCAGGTGTCTCGTCTGGGGCGACTGGGTGAGTGCGAATGGCTGTCTTGGCCAGTGCCCACAGCAGGTTGCAGAGCCTTTTCGCTCCCAAAGCCTCTCGTGCTGCGCATGCAGATGCAAGTCGCACCTCAATCGGCCAAGTGAATGATCCAACAAATCCAACATTGAAAAGCCTTGGTTTCTTAGGCTCCCAGTTAGTACGGGTCAGGGTCAGCTCTGACTGTAGGTGCCTCCAAACATACCCAAAACCCCAAAACCCAGCACTTCCCCCAACCACAACAACCAGTTTCATGAGATTGGTGGAAAATACCACCAGACTATGGACCCCAGAATAGACAAATCCAATACCGAGCCAATGGTTTTGTTGGGTGGTGTTCATGGGACGCAGGTTTTTGCACAAAGATACTTAATCTCAAGGGGAAAGGAATGGGAAAGGGTTATTATGGATTCTTCATCTTGCATTTCAGCAACAATCCCAGGGTCGTCCCTGCCTGCACATCTCGATTGTTGGGCCTAGCCCTTGCGAAGCTCCAGGCTAAAGCCACAAGCTGCCCCGATCCAAACTGCCGGTAGTCCAGAGAGGACTCCAACGTCGCGAGAAAGGTTCCGCCATCTCCATGGGAGATGAAGCCAATGCTCCAAGACATGTTCACCTTGGGAAAAATGTGACAAACTCATGGGTCTGTCCTCTCTTTAAGTCTGTCCCCCTCTGAATAGATCTATAAGTTGCCTTCACCTGGCGGGAAACTGGAAATTGATGAGTTTTGTTGCATGATTTTGCCATCCTTAACTTTGTCCAATGGGTGGGGCTTCCCGCAAAGCTTTTCTGAAGCCAAGTCTGTGATCACCACCTGCCCCGGCTCCATTTCTCTGAAGCGCAAGGATGCTTCCTGGCACAAGGACCTAATTGGATTCAGGGACCTGGCAGTCACCAGCCGGCTTGGCACAGTCGCCAAAGCCCACAGGGAAGTAGCCAAGGCATGGGTTTCTAACTCCCGGACCCTGGCTGGAATGGCAATCATAAAGCTCACACATGAAATCCAATCTTCGGACTCCGGGTTTTTCAGATTTTTCCAGCGCCCAGATTTGGCCACGGACCATGCCAAATCGCAGAGCTCCGTGGGCGACAGCTCTGGGATTTGCTCTGCTGCGGGGTGACCTCTGATAGCCAAGCCGGCCAAGCTGGTGGAGCATCGTTTCAATCTGAGGGCAGCCAGCCTGGAGCCAACTGCCATGGCTACAGCACAGGAGCCATGGTGCGGGGCCAGAAACCCGCCTTGAGACTGTCAGTTGGAGGAATTCTATGTCCCAGCCTCAGCATGCCTGGGGCCTAAAGGTGTGAACGAGTGAAAACACGGTTTCCGTGCAAGGTCAAGACATGTCAAGACTGTGGTGATGGTCACTCTGGGGACCGGGCCAGGGGACACTGCCGGACCAGCTCCTGAACTGTGCCGATCAGAGCAGCTCTCAGTACCAAGGTAGGTCGACAGCTGTGACAATGGCCATCCGGTTGTACAAGTGATGTCAAAACGCAACCCACAAACTGATGCTGCTGGACTGCTGACGTCCTGGGCATGGTCATCATTCATGGTAAGTATTCCTGGCATTCCAACATACCTCAAAGCCATGCTGAGGACAGCTGGAGAGGCAAAGTAGGAACTTAATTGAACC